TAAAATTCAACTCATGAACATAATAATTATCCATAATAATAGTCAATTTATATCACTAAATAAAACTTAAACATCCATTAAGCAAAATTGGCAAAATTAGAATTCAGAATGGGGTCATTTACCCTAGTGACACATACATATGTGACTGGAATATCCATTTAATAAATAGGGCAAAACCAAAAAATCATTGAATTGAATAATTAGGTCTCCATCATATGACACACATTTTAAACTAGAAACATTTGAAACTGGACGTCCATTAGGTCAATGAGGCACAACCAATCATATAACATGCAAAATGAACCATAATATCCATAACGCACACAGCAAAATCCAGATCTCGTGAAGATTATGCCTCTTGTTTAGATGTACAGATTATCACAAAATACTGTTTGTACTGAGTCTTTCAGTCAGAATACTGTACACAGAATAACAAAATTTCTGTGACCTTTCTAGATTGTGGTATCACTATCAAACCAACCAATTATCATCCATTTAATCCTTAATTATTTCCATAACACACCTGTTACCTCATCTTAGATTAAATATCTAGACAGGATTTTATACTAATGGCAACTTGAGACTGTTTCAATGCACATCTATCTTGGTGTATGTGTCAAATTTGAAAAAAATGTCTTGAAAGCAGGATGAATATAATGTCATATTTGTTCACACGTTTCCAATGAAAAGATATTGAATTTTGAATATTTTAAGAAATTTAGTTCAAGTTCTTTTTTTTTTTTAATTTCATATCCGAGCAAAAATCCTAAATCTTCTATATTCATAAATTTCCAGCTGTATTGACTGAAATAAGGTCCTAAAATATGTCACAAAGTTTCAATATTCACAGTTATTATGAAAGTAGTTTTTATAAGACAAATCTGCACACTATATGCCCTGAGGAAATAATTTTGAATTACTGATATGATAGTTCAAATTTTTGAAAATTGTTCATTTCACCTAGTTTTTAAAAATCATCCAGATATCACTAATAACAACTGAAAATGTTACAATTTTCAAAGAACACAACAAAACGTACTACTGGCCTTCAAAAAATATACATTCATTCTGAATACTCAAAAAGGAGTCATTCAAATCTTTGAAAAACATTAACCGTTAATCTCATCATCACACAGTCATGGCATGTTATATATTATATTAATTCTTTTGAGCATTGTTTAGGGAAAATACCTTGTTGCAGGGAAGATGACATTCATATGAGTTTTAAATCAAATAGTAAGCCATTCATGTGTTAAAATGTTTTGCCAAAAACAGCACATTGCTTTCTGTATTGTCTATTGTCACAATGATATATTCAAATTTGTCACTCCTTTGAAACTTTATAACATTCCTCAATGACACAACCATTCACCTTTATTCATAATTTGCAAAATTATTATATATTCTTAGGAATTCATGGTTTTTAGAGAATACTTCATTTCTTTGAAATTGTCTTTTTTTTCACACATTTCCAGCTAAGAATTGAAAGTATTCTCCAAATATAAGCTAAAAATTAATGAAATGTATCATACAATTATCATTGGTGAACCAAAAGATGATTTCAAAAATCTTCCTCAAAGCAGAAGAATCATACCATTGGAATCAAATCTTGCATCCTTTTTTTTCCTTGTATATCAATTTTGAATTCCTTCAACTTCCTTCACTTTAATTTCCTTGAAATTTCAACAACAATGTTGTGTATGACATCACACACGACTTCCATGTTCAAATCTAAGCACTGACTATAATAACTCCACTCATTTTTTTAGCAGATCCCTTTTTCGATAAACTCCCTCACTCTTAATACAAGAATTTCCTTTATCAACTCCTCATTCAGGGTCTGTGTAAATACAGCAACCATTCATTTCAGATCTCACTCACAACTCAAATCCTTCTTCTGCGCTTTCTCAAATTATAAGAAAAAAACACACTGTAACAACTATGACTTTATAAGTTCTCTAAAAAAAAAAAGTCTAATTTCTCTCACATCACCTGTTGACTAACAGTTAAATTCAAATGAAAAAAAAAATAACGAATGAAACTGTCCCAAACATCCCGTTTTCCCTGTCAAACCACATTGAAATAACCAAGTATTTTCCTTGAATTTGAAATAATTAGAATATTTATCTACATGTAGCTAGCTAGACCAGTTTAAAAACTACCAATTAGGATGTAAAATATCAATTATAGTAATAAATTCTTCAATTTGTTGACCATTATTCATTATAAAATAGTAACATCCAAGAAAATAAAACCCCAAAAAATACAGGAAAGGGAATAAGCTAAGGAGGAATTTAACCCTGAGTTTAATCAGTTTTATGCCACCTTGATCATTAATTTGGCTATTTATCAGTCAAATGAAATATACATCTGACTTGCTATCTGTAGCAGTCTTTGCCAAACCAAATTTTGACGAATTTTCCTGAGTTCAAATGTCTCATCATGAATTTGACTTTATATGTATGTGTGTTCAAGTGAAAGGAGTAGTTTTAGCTTTTATTTGCATGATTCTGCCTTAAATAAGTCGTTCCTCGAATTCCAGGTAACTGGCTTATATGATTACAAAATCAGAATCATACATTCCATATGGCTGTTGGCAGGAAATTGGCATGGCGCTAACAAAGACTGTTCTGACGTGAGCACAACAGATATAAAGTCTTTTTGATTTTAAAGCTTATTCAAGTACTATATAAATAATCTGTTAATCTGTGAATATTTGATACAGATTAGTATTGAATGCAGCATATAAACTTTGGTTACAATACTTCAATTTAATATCATGATATTCTTCTCATAATACAAGTGATCATTGAATATATAGAAACACAATAGAAATATTCTTGAGCAATGTCCACCTGCTAAAACTTAAACTTTAATACCATCTTTGTCTAGTCTTCTGATTTGACATGGAATTTCAATCTAATATTCAATTGACACACTAGTTTGATAAGTGCTAAACCATCTTTGTTTAACTTTCTTCATGTTAATATTTCCTGATTATTTTCACAATATGAAAACTTTTACTAGAAATAATAAAACATGTTAATCTCATCTTCACACCTTGTTTCTGAGACACTGAAAGCTAAGTTCATAATGCAGATTAAAACATCCATTGAAAAGATGGCGACATCATATGAAGGAATAGCCTATGTGATATTAAAAAAAACACTTGATCAATAGCGAGAAAATGGGCATAAAATTGCCATTTCTCAAAAATATGTGAGGGTAAACTCACATCTGAAAATATTGTTTAAAACTTAATCAACTCTGATTCTAATGTTGTCAAATATGATAAGTTTTGAGTTGGTGGGATTGGAGAAGGACATCACAAGATGGAGATTTTACTGACTCAAGTCCATAGTAACTTTTTAAAATCAATTGCAAAATGAAGATCCTTATATTCAAAATAACATATAAAACAAGGATTTGGGCTACACCTTGGATATTTTCATCTAATCTTAATCCCTGCATGAAGCAATTGTTTACAAATCTACCAAATCAAATAAATACCAACCCCTAAATATCTTGATTGATCCTAATGTACTGTTTATCTTAGCCCTTTAATGATGTTTTCAATCTTAATCCATAGACATCCTTTCAAAGATTTAATCTGTTCTAATCCTTTCAGTGATACAGAGGGTATCTAATACTGGTGGCTGTTGGTAAAGAGATAGATGTCATCTGCTAGGTAATTAGGTGACATGGGTTTGAATCTGCCTCTATGTAATCAAACTTCTGATACGATTCTGAAAGTCTTCAGGTCACATAATCCTCAACCTCCAAGAACAAATTCTTATTCCATTGACTTTAGACAGTTTGTTTAAATTGATAATAATAACGGACTCTCAGAGGCAGCAGTGACTAATGACAGCGTGATTAATATCTGCATCAGGTATGTAAATATGTGTCAGAAAACACCTTGTCCAGTCTAAGCATTCAAAACACCTTTTTGTTTCAATTTATGAGAATTGGACATCAGATTTTAAATTTGGAAAATTCTGAAATTTAGTTTTATCAGGAAATATTTAAATATGTATGTAACTTCATCAAAGACCTTGGTATGGGATCCACAGTTCTTCGATGACGCCTGAGGCCTGTTTACGAGCAGGTTTATGAGCATGAAAAAAAGTTTACATCCTACTTTACAGTATGCAATGACAGAAAAGTTACTAGGAAAGTCGCAATAGCCTACAGGATTGTTTTGTTTTCCAACTGTAGAAAGATCCTTTAAGGGATTGTAAAGAGGTTTTCTACATTTTTTATGCATATTTCGGAGACACTGTTAGCATCAATTTGCATCATTCCAATTTTCAATCAAAGGTTTGTGGTTCCTGCAATTCTACTAAAACTAAGTGTTTGATGACGTCACCCCAGCGAAATTTTCTTATTTCACATTAGACCTTTGCAGGGGGTCTTGTTTACACAGAGCCTTATTTAACTGTCACATCTGTCATGTTTTTTATAAATAATTTATGAAATATTATAAATCAAGTTATTTAAGAGTAGCTATCTACTTAGATAATTTATTTGTTTAAATAACTTGAGATGAATTTAAAACCTGTTTTTTAAACTGTAATCATGTAGTAGGAGTAAGGTAGAACACGTTGACCTAGCAATATGATTCATAAACAAAATAACATGAAAACACATCAATATACATAACTAGGACATGATTCACTTCAATAAACTTTAACCAATCAAATAATAATATTGCTATCATAAAATCAGAAACACCTGATGAAGCAGAAATTAAAATAATGAAATGAAATGTATGAAATTTTGCACCATGTGGGCTAATGAAGACGGCAACGCCATGCAGGGTACAATGAGGGAAATTTTGCCAGGACATCGGCATTAGCCTGCTCTTTTTCGATTTCCAACTGTCGAGGGATCTTCAAAATGCACAGCCTGTAGCACACAGGGCCTCGCTTTATATTCCCATCCAAATGACTAGACGCTTTTTCCATGACAGAAATTGAGAAATAAACGAAAAAATATGATTATAATGCAGATTGTTGTTGACAAAGTACAAGAAAAATTGGAAACTACAAAAAATAACAATTTTCATTAGATGAAATATAATTTCAAAAACCTGAACCAATAATATTGTGAAATGCTAAAAAATAAAATTTCCATGCCACAAAATATCGAATACATGAAGAAAATTGTTGAAGACAACAAAAACTCACACCAAAAGAATATTTGTCAGATACATGGAAATATTATAGAATTAGGTTGTCAAAATGAATTTATTTCAGATTTGGATAGCTTGCAGCACTGATATTAGTATTCAGGACATTAATGACAAAAGTTAATTCAAAATGTCTTCCGAGGTCTATTGCTACAAGCTGGTTTTTATTTTTCATGTCCAAAAGTTTCAAATGTTGGCATTTCAAAACAGTCTAATTCTTGATGTCCAATCTGTCAAGAACCAATCTCAATGTTACCAATTCTTAATTTGTTTGTGTTTTGAAAAAGAAACAAGATTCATGATGGGGTCCCTTTAACCTATATGATATATCATTAATTTCTTTTGATTTGCCACATGATTAGTAACCATGTCGTCAATGAATCAAAACATCAAAAAATATCAAAAAAATACACAAATAGGATTAGTCGTGAATATATATTACCTCCCTGACAGGAGAGTTTTGCGTAACTAGACTTGTGGTCGGTAAATATTAAAATCTGAAGGTTACTAGGTGTAAGAGAGAATGATGGATGGATGGTAATATTATACTTTTCTCATATCTTGTTAGTCATAATCTTGTAGCTGCTTAATTTACAACAGCCTTTTAGGTTTCAGAGAGGGGGGTGGGGGGAATTGAAATCCAACAATTCAAGGAAATATTTAGAGCAAATGAGTTACAGCCTTAGTAATTTGTCTCACCTCAAACAACAGTGTCTGGTAATTGAAAATAAAATTTGTAACTGAGTCGTCTACAAGATTTATGTAACCCAGTGGATGTAGCAGCATATTTATAAGTATGATTCAATGAGGCAATATTCCAAAGCTTTGTACATATTAGTGAATATTGAAACATTATATATATATCAATGCTGTTAAAAAGTACTGTTTTTATTGATTTAGTTTTATTGCTGTTATGCCCTGTTAATGATAAGATTTTTGTTTGAAACATTATGCAGGTGATTTAGTTTTAAAAGTTTTTGTCATTAGATTCATTACTCTGCACTGTTTATAACTGACTTCTGCTGCTATAAAATTGGTTATTTTGCTGTATTGTATGTGTTTTTGAACTGTAAAATAGATACTTTGAAAGCAAAGTACACTTTTGAGGTATGTGAATATGTAAGTTTGTATACTGATGTATAATTGTTACAGTAGCCATTAAATATGTATCAGGTTAAACTGATAATGATATATTCAGGAATGGAGAAATATTTAGAAACCTTTCATTGCTACAGTACCATGAACAATTTCGCATCATGTTTTTGTCTTTTGAATTGAAGTTAGCTTTCAGGTTTTCCCATAATCGGTGTGATTTTGAATTTTTATAAATAGTTTACTCCATTTCTGAATGCTGTATCAAAATGAAGAAAAAGAAACTGACCTTTATCTGTGGACTGAATAAATTACTTAGTTTATTCTGAGACTTGATTTTCTTGCCTTCACTGAATCCAAGAGTTCCTCCAGGACTGATGGAGGAAGCATAAAACGTATCATCAATGGATAAATTACTTCTTTTATTTCCACGTAAACTTCCCTACAAATAAATAAATTACATTTAAGATTACAGTCATCATGTTTAAGATACACAAGATAAAAGTAATGTAGTCTGTAAGCTATCACCAGAAAAGTGGATTTACCTCCCTTGTATAGGTTCAATTGAATTGTCCTTCTTGAAATAGACATCATGCTACATCTTCTTTTATGCAATTAGAAATGAGGTTTAATTCCACAATGGATTAATGAGAAATGTGCTAAAATTTACTAAATTAAAACATTCAGACCATATATTTACATAAATAGTAAATTATTTACAAGCACACAAAGACTGTAATACATTAAACTATAATGTGACTCAAATATATGTACAACAGATCTTGTCAAAATAAAACTTTCATAGACTAATATTTAGTAATGAATGTAAAAAATTGAAAACAACACCTAATATTATGATAGACAAAAGACACAAAGAATAAACTGAAATAAAAATATTTTTAACATCTAAAAAGTTCCTCTAAATGATGATAATATTTGATCACACAACTTTGTGCTACTACATTACACTCAGAAATTAATTAGTTTTCATCCACACTAATAACAGACTATAAATAAGACTATTAGAACCACAGCTCATTTTTTGTAGCAGATTGTGCCAAAAATGGCAAATTGTGCTGCCTGCTTTAGAGAATTATGAGATCTAAATAAATTCTTATTGGAGTAATATCACATACAGGGAAAATTGTTTGTTGGGATATTTCTTGCCAGGAAAATTGTTTTTTTTGATATTTCTTGCTAGGAAAATTGTTTGTTGGGATATTTCTTGCTGGGAAGATTGTTTGTTGGGATATTTCTTGCTGGGAAGATTATTTGTTGGGATATTTCTTGCTAGGAAAATTGTTTGTTGGGATATTTCTTGATGGGAAGATTGTTTGTTGGGGTATATCTTGCTATCTTGCTAGGAAGATTGTTTGTTGGGATATTTCTTGCTAGGAAAATTGTTTGTTGGGATATTCTTGATGGGAAGATTGTTTGTTGGGATATAACTTGCAATCTTGCTAGGAAGATTGTTTGTTGGGATATTTCTTGATAGGAAGATTTTATGTTGGGGTATTTCTTGCTGGGAAGATTGTTTGTTTGGGGTATTTCTTGCTGGGAAGATTATTTGTTGGGATATTTCTTGCTAGGAAGATTGTTTGTTTGGAGTATTTCTTGCTAGGAAGATTGTTTGTTGGGATATTTCTTGCTGGGAAGATTGTTTGTTGGGATATTTCTTGCTAGGAAGATTGTTTGTTGGGGTATTTCTTGCTGGGAAGATTGTTTGTTGGGATATTTCTTGCTAGGAAGATTGTTTGTCGGGATATTTCTTGCTAGGAAATTTTTTTTTTTTGATATTTCTTGCTAGGAAAATTGTTTGTTGGGATATTTCTTGCTGGGAAGATAGTTTCTTGGGGTATATCTTGCTAGGAAACTTGTTTGATGGGATATTTCTTGATGGAAAGATTGTTTGTAGGGATATTTCTTGATGGGAAGATTGTTTGTAGGGGATATTTCTTGATAGGAAGATTGTTTGTAGGGATATTTCTTAATGGGAAGATTGTTTGTAGGGATATTTCTTGATGGAAAGATTGTTTGTTGGGATATTTTTTGATGGGAAAATTGTTTTTTGGGATATTTCTTGATGGTAAGATTGTTTGCTGGGATATTTCTTGATGGGAAGATTGTTTGTTGGGATATTTCTTGATGGGAAGATTGTTTGTTGCCATATTGTTTGTTTGGAATATTTCTTAATGGGAACATTTCTTGCTGGGGACATTTTATTTTTAGGAATATTGCATGATGGAAACATTGCTTGTTCTGAACATACATAGGAATACTGCTAGTTATAGGTAAAACTATGAGTGATACATTGCATGCTTTGGCAATTGTGTATTGAGACCATAGTTTGTTAATGATTTTTATCATGTTTACAACAGTATGAATAGAGTTTAAGACTTCTTAATGAATGATCAAGACGTGACATGAATTCTAATCACTGAAAGAAATTACACTAATACGTATATTCATACATAAATTCCCAATATTAAACCCCAAAATAAAATTGTACCCAAAAACTTCCCACCTCAAAATAAATACCATATTTAAAATATACCATAAAATAAAAAAATAAAAAAGAAATAAAATTTAGTAAGTGGAAATGTTACAGAAAAAATGGAAAAATATTAACTGAGCATATTTAGCTGGGAGGGAAAAAAAAAGTCTGAAGATTTTACAAAAGGAAAAGGGATTATGGTAAAATAATTAATGATAGAATAACAAAACATATTAATCATGCTTCTACAAGGATTTACTACGGGTAGCGGCATTTTCAGACTTACAAAAGTGTCATCAGGGAATTTCACCCCGGAGTTGCCATCATTTTTAGAGAAGAAAGGCAACTGTAGAGAACCTCTCCTCTGCCGAGCTGTTGGAGGTTCTAAAAATGTTGGCACAGTAATGGCAGATTCACGTCTTGCAGTTCGCTAAATAAAAAATTAAAATGCTGCATAAAAAATGAAATAAGGTATAGCTTTATCAAAGGCTAAAAAAGAAAAAAAATTATCTTCATCTACTTGCCATAAAATTTCAGAAAGCAAAAAGTTTATAATTGCTTTATAAAATAAAATTCTGTGAATGCTACAAGGGATTCAATTAGGTTTCCCAGCGTTTCCATGTGTATTAAGGACACAAAATTTTTCTGGTACACCATTCTGATATAGGGTAGTGAACTTAAAATCTTCCATAATACACACAGAAAAGCTTGATAACCACTTTGAATCCCTTTAATTATGAAATATGAAATGTAAAATTCAATATGACATGTGGACTATAACTTTATAAACATTTTAATCTACAAATTGCTCTCTTTAATTCATCTCTTCCATCATTTTATCATTTTGACAACTAAAATATCTTTTTAATCAGCTTATATAAAAATCAATAAATGTTACAAATATTCTAAGCGAGTCAGCAAAAATAACCTTGTGTTTGTAGAAATAAGCTTAATTTCTTCTACATGCACCAGGGAATAGCAAAGATTGTTGCTTAGCAAAATACGCAATTAGCAAATCTGGAGCAAGAGAGATAAGATATGAAATGGAATTTTCATGCTAATGTTTTTGAAGAATGGAAATTGGGAATTTAGAAGATTAGACTTTCTTTATAAGCTAAATATAAGAAAATTATCCACCTCAAAATATCTAGCTGATAAAGCAGTACCTATGCCTAATATTGCAATGCAAGCTGCCAACTGGTGTTTGATTTTTTCCTCTCAAAGTATATATAATGTAGATCAATAGTCTTTATGCACATTCAGAGATAATTGAAGCACTGGCATGACCATCTACAAAATGTCAAGCTATTACGAACCTTGTCTTATACCTTGATTGCAATAATCACCTTCCTTGCATTATGGAAGTTTGTACAAGAAGCAATTTTGGATTGTATGAAGTTAATACAGCCCATAAAACCCCCTAGACAGAAAGGCTGTACACATAATTCACAGATTTCTGTTGAAGACTCTGATTTGTTGTATTTGCTAGCGTATAATCCAATCAAATCACTTGATTTACAAACTTCCATGATAAAAGAATGGTGACTATTGCAGGTATAAGTACAAAGTTCATTATAGCTTGACATTTTGAAGATGTGACATGACAGACTGACTTCATTACCATATTAACCTGGTCTGGTTTCAGGCCATTATTGCTCTTTTTATTACTAGAAGTGCATAGAAATTGACCTACTGTAATATATCAAGCCTAACACCTTTCTTGATAATATAATTTTCAGAAGAAATCAATCTGTAACTTACCCCAGCTGATTTGGAAGGTTTACTACTTGATTTGTTGCCATTGTTTGAGCGGTTTTGTTTGGAGCTGAACACATCTAGATCTTTCTCTGAAATTAGATTGATCAAATTCATCAAACATGATATTAAATATTATGTGTCTCTTTCCTATTTTCAAAGACTTCTCTCTGCCTGTATCTAATTCAAATGTGAAGAAATGATTGTATCGTGTAAAATATTTTGAGATTTATGCTGAAAACTTATTTGTATAAGTTTTTTCAAACAAAATGGCAAAATGAATGATTTAATTTACACCCTAAATGGTCTCATGAGCAGCATTTCTTGTTACCAACATTTCCTGAGTTAATTCAACACCATCCAGATAAGCAACCTTTAGAGACTTGATATGTCTATAATCAATTTTATATCATATAATATCAGGTCTCAGAGAAGAGAACTGTGATATCCAACACATAACATACTAGTGTCCAATATACAGATTGTTGTACACATTGGTAGTTTGTAAGTTTAACCCTATTTGAAGAATGATTGACTCATTGTTTTTCTTCATGTTAGTTACTATTTACTAAATGGCTAATAAGTACTAATAGTTTGGAGAGTTTGTACACAGACTACATGTATTGAGGTAATCAGTATAATAAGAGTTATAGGTGGGGCATGGTGTCATTCTTTAATAATACTTGAACACATTTACTATTTGCTGAAAGTCTTATTGGTACTTTTCGATAACAGCGAGTGGCTTAAGAAAGGACAATAATGAGGGTTGGGTCAGTAATTGTCTTGACAGAGTGGACAATAATGACCATTGTTCTTTCCAGGTAAATCAATATGGCCGATGTTACGAGTATGTACCAAAAGTCACTCTGACAAATGTCAAACCAGTGGGAGTAAACACAATTACAAATATGTTTTGGTTCTATTCTGGTCACAGTGCACAGTAGAATCATATACTCTCATATACACGCACAAACACAAAATAAATACACAGAATAAATGGCACCTAATTAAGTTAATACAAAGAAACAGTTTTATGTACAGCTAATGAAATGAAATGTCACACACTTTATTTGAGTAATCAAAATTGATGTTTGACTTCTTTTTTGCACCTCATTGGGTGAATGGATTTTATGAGACCTGTTTTACATCTATTTCTAAACCTGTTTTAAAATCAAAACCACTTGATACACTTGGCAAAAGTTCATCAACTCAAATCATTATATTCAATATGGTCAACAGAGAACTGTCAAAATCCACAACAAGATATTCCAAAACTGCCAAATCCAATATAACCACAGATACCTTAAATTTCTCATATCATTGAGAAATGTGGTTAAAATGTCCAATTGACACTCTCTTTTCAACTTCTGACCCAATTAAAACATCAAAATCTAATATATACTGCTTTACAACTGGATCAATTGATCCACTTGATCAAAACCAACAGAAAAACATGGTGGTTTCTCACCCTCCATCTATTCACTCATAGTCATGTTTTTATCAACATCAATTTTAAAATGTCATGTGACTTGATAGATCTCCAAAACTTTCACAAAAATCTTCCACAAAAAATCTTTCAAAAAATCCTTATAAAAAAAATCTTTTAAAAAAAATCTTTTAAACAAAATCATTCACAAAAAATCTTCCACAAAAAATCTTTCAAAAAATCCTTATAAAAAAAATCTTTTAAACAAAATCTTTCACAAAAAAATCTTTAAAAAAAATCTTTCACAAAAAAGCTTTTAGAAAAATCTTTCATGAAAAATCTTTCAAAAAAAATCTATGTTCCATTTACAAATTCTTGTTACTTACATCTATTTGTTCATTAAATAACATTTTGGACGGAATGAAATAAATGGACAGGGATCTATTTTGTATTGCATGATATTTTCATTGAATGTTAACTTCATGTTAAATGTTTACTCTTCTAATTTAGCTAATAATGAGATAAACTGGTATTTTTCCAAGTCATTAGAACACCTCTACTTTCTATTCATATACGTATTAACATTTTCATTTTCATAAATAAAATGAAGAGAACCCATCTTTAAGCTTGAGTTTCAGATCAATTCAAAGATGTACAAAAAACACTAAATTTCTTTCACTGAGAATTTTTATGCACATCAATTTGAAGATTTCCTTTTCAATCCTAAAATCATTAAATTCATCAAAATCTTTTGTTGCCAATATCTATTCCAATGTAAATGTTCAGTGATTTTTAAGATGAATTTTGAAATTTTAAAGGGATTTTTTTTATCTGTATCGAGGATAGTGATAGCATCAATTTGCACCACTCCAATTTTCAATCAGTTGTCTGTGGTTCCACTAAAACTAAGTGTTTGATGACGTCACTAATCGCAGAGGAACTTATGTGATAAAGAATATTTTGCAATTAGTGACGTCATCAAACACTTAGTTTTAGTGGAATAGCAAGAGCTACAGAAGTCTGATTGAAAATTGGAATGGTACAAATTGATGCTATTAATGTCCCTGATACACATAAAAAATAAAGAAAACCTCTTTACAATCCCTTTAAGTCTTTTCCATCCTATATAAGGCTTTAAATTTCTTTCAAACTTTCTGAACAGTTATTTTACATTACAACAGAGAAACTCTTTTTCACACTATTACTTTCAAACTTTGGCTATATCTGAATTCTTTATTTAAACTTTGAATCTATTTTTTAATCCTATACATACTCTTAAATTTGTGACATTTCTTACACGGTATTTTTATATACCAACGTTTCCATTCTACATAGCAGACATTACAAAACTACCGTTCTTTCTTTGTGAAATGTTTTATAATATAAGACTATATTTGATTCACAAATGGAATTTCCCAGTAGAAATGACAATCAGCAAATAAAGTTTTCGTTTTCATCCATGTCAATCGATTTCACTAGAAAATAGATTGAAAACTCCGCAAATTTCAACCCATGAAGAAATTCTGCCATTTTATTTGAAGATAGAAAGAAAACTGTGTTGAGTTAGAGATTAGCTATTTTCAAATTTCATTGAATTCTTTTACATCAAAACATTGTCATTGATGTGGAAGTTGGGTTTTAAGATTTCTATGATTTGCTTCAATACTGTCACAAACATCATTATAACACAAGATTATCTTAATTTAATCAAATAAAAGTTAGTTTGGTGAATTTAAAGGAACGATACTTAATAATACGTAATATGTGCCCACATTCATTAATAACATTTTGCTTTTGTAATTCTGATAAATTCTTATACTACATCTATTTTTCAAGGCATGTCATGCAAGTTATCTGTCTTGCAGAGAAAACCATCAAATTCTCAAGCAAAACATTGTCTAAAAATTTTCAATTTCAAACTGTTGAGGGATTTTTAATGTGTGCAGCCTGTAACACTCTAAGCCTCAGGGAATGGCAACCATTGAATTTTGCAAAAGTTTGTCTTCTGGCTTATTGACTAATGATAAAATATTAGTTCAGTTGTACCAGGTCTTGTTCAATCTCCAAAAACTAATACACATGTCCTCAAGTTTATATTTACTGGATACACAATGCTCAAGGTGCACATATTTGTTGGTGGATATCAGCACATAGTTATTGGCTAAAAATAGTATCAAACAAATAGATATGAGTTCTACCAATTTCTGAATTTTGATTTTGTTACTAATGAACCCATCATACCAAATGTCAAAAAAGTTATAAATAGTTCAAATAGAGTCTCAACGAGTATGACTGTGTTTTCATCAACAATTTCAATGGTAATCTTCCTATTTAAGAGAAACATAACGTCTGATGTCAAAAAGCCAATTTCTTTTGTTAATGCTGAAACAAGAGAAAATTCAACATGTCCTAATAGCCCATATTGTAGCCTGACATTTGTAGCCTTAAAACGGACATGACTGGCAGTTGGAGTCAAATCAGTATCCAAGATATAAAACTAAAACACAAACCTAGTTCAAGTAATCTTGATGGATAATCAAAAGATTTGCTGCGATGTGTTTTTTTCTTGAATGAGCTGACTTTAATAATGAGGTCCTCTGTATTTCTACTGAACATTTTAAAATTAAATTCACCACATATCTTTTCCTGTTGCACATTACGACACTCTGTATTCACATTCAACAATATACTTATCCCATAAAAATAATATCATATTAGTTACAGCTGATGAGAATTCATTTGTTATAAATTCTGTTATAAATTCTGAAATATATCCTCAATTTTGTCACTAGATACTTCTTTTCATTAAGTTAAAACGCTTTAAATGTGAAACTGTAGGGTGCAAAAACACAAATCTTAAGCCATAGCAAAATTCATAAGTCTCACTCCATTGATATAAATCCTTATGTTCATTCAAATGAAGAGTTTGTAAAAGAGGTAAAAACACATTAGTTTCACATTTAAATTTGAAAGTCAGAACTATTTCTCACACATAAAATTCATGAAAATTTCAATGAGACCCATATACTTGTCATAATTTCTTAATTCTAAGTCCTTTATATACACATATCCAAGCTATAAAGAGCTTTAAACTTATAACAAAATTTAAAGCATCACAACTTTTAGGTCCTAGAAAGTGTAACACTAACTCAATGTAAATGACACTTTTCAAAGTACAGTAAATTATGTTCAGAATCTATACAGAATGTCTGTTATAATTATAAGGTTTGTGAGAGAACACCCAATGACGGTCAAAAACTTCCTTGCCACATTTTTACCAACTGAATAATTGTGTCAATATGAATAACTATTTATATATACAGATATTCAGGTGGTTGAAAAAAAATGTCGACCAGTTCAAATTTCGATATCCAGTCAAAACAGGGCGGGCTATAAACTCATTATTGATAAGATATGCAAATATTGAATAGTGTTTCAGACAATTCAAAGTGAGAGAGGGTTTGTGTTTAAATGCAGTTATCATTTATTATTTGAAATAGAACAGTTGAATTACAAATTAGTAAGTTAGATAAATGCATTTTTATCATTATATTCTCTTATAACTTAAGTTATCATGGTTTTTTTCCGATAAGGTATCAGACCAAATTCCAAAATTTGAGAACTTGCGCTTTTTTATGAACACATTTTGATGAACACTTTTTGATGAACACTTTTTGATGCTCACAAATGGATGAACATATATTGAGAAAGTACATTAAAGTAACTGAATGCAAGAAAGTATATAGTAAACAAAGATACACCTAAAATAATTATACAGCAATTTAGCCATTAGTGATCTAGCTCTCTTAACAGGGTGCATTGACATCTTCACTTGAAGAGTGGTGTCAGGTGCCCACAAGCCTGAACATACCCTTCTGTATTGCTAGCATTACAAACAACACAATTACTGCCAAAAATATATACAAATTTAATGCTTTTTTTTTTAAGCCACCCAAATTTTTTTTATATCTATATTTACAATTTATTTAAATAGAAAGTCAACAGTAGCCACTAGTAATCATGACAGGTTTTCTTTATCTTTCTTTAAAGCAACACAACAAAACAATTTATATCATTTGTCAGTGATATCTAGGGAGGCAGGGAAAACATATTTGTGGTATGTCAGGGGTGTGACTAAGGGTCAAAAATTCTTCATCACTAATTGAAAATAATCCATAGTAAATAATATTTAGAGCTCAATATATGGTCCACTCTATAACTGTACTTTATAGGGGCAGATGTGCCATTTTTTTTACTAATCATACCTTAGTCTCAGAAACGGGAATTTTTTTAATTAGCCATCAATAATAGTGTTCATAGCTCAAATTTGATCCTTCAAATCCATGTCCAGAATTATCTGCATTTGAAAGTTAAAAAGAAGAGTCGTCTTATTTTGAGACACTACCATTTATAGAAAAAACATCTATAGAAATAGGTAAAGAAATTCATAGTTTGAGATATTTTTGAAGGAATTATTCGATTTTCGTACATTTCTAGTACTTCTGAAGACTATTTATTGACAAATACAAAGACAAAAACGCCTTTCTTAAAATAGTCGCAATACATAATGTAATACAATTTGAATATTAGTATGAAAAAGCCCAGTCATCAACAACCTTGAATATTTGAATAGCTCTTTAAAATAGAAGTTTAACTAAGTGCTATATATTATAAGGTTCTATTGATATTGTTATTCATTTCACACTAAAAGTTAATATATGACATGATAACATAATATTTATTATACCTTGAAATATATTCAGGTCAAACACCTGAAGGAAATGGTAGGGGAAATAACTCTCTAGGAGGTCTCATTAAGCTTTCACTGTTAGGCACATTGACCAGGGAGGTATTTTTTTACCAGCCTAACTTACTGGAGAAAGAAACAAGAAAAAGAAAGAAACAATTATATTTTCTTTTTACATGGAGAAGACAATAAGTTTATGAGGTCTACCAGCTGGTCCTTGGGCAAGTCTCTTAGCATTACTCCTTCCCTGATTAAACCAAATCCAACTGGGAACCAACTGGAATAATGAAGAAAGATGACTTATTCAAGGTCATCAGATTTTCAAACGCCATTCAAGTTAAGAACCCACGACCATCATTTGATGTTACCAAACAAATGAAGTCATAGATTTCAAATGTGCTACCACTCATCTTGAGATATATAAATCTGATTGAACACCATCAATGATTGATAATGATATTGGTCAAAGAGCAAGTTTCAATCAAGAATTTGATAGTGTAGAGTTGTTTGATATAGATATTAGTCAATCTGTATAGTATTACAGGATATATATAATATTTAAGATGATTAAAATGTTCGTAGAATTTGATAACAAGAGTCATGAGGCAGATATCACATGCTTTCTCATTCTTAGAATTTCATTATCAATATTATCTAGATGGTCTTATTTTCAATCACTTTCTCAATAATACTATTAACTGTTAACCTTGTTTATATGCATCTCTTTGACCTAAGTGAATCAATGTTTAAACCATGTCCCCTTGTTGATAAATATTTTGGACTTGTATCACTATATCTCTAAATGGGGCAGTGAATTTTAACCAATCATAACTACATTTTCATTTCAAAGTGGTTGCCCATACAGATACAGTATAATTCATGAGTTTTGTTCATGTGTTTAATTTACAAAACAAAGCATATGTAGAGGCATTTTTGACTGGCATGACTTGTCACATGGCTTCATGAATATTCCTTTCCTAGCTCGTAATTAAAGCAGATTTCAGAAATGAAATGAAATGAATGGAGTTTTACGTCCTACTTTTCTGCACCATGTGGGCTAATGTAGACGGAAAGCAGATTTCAGAAGTAGTAACTTTAAATCATTAGATAAGATTATTATCAAATTTGATGCCATTTGTCTTGTAACAATAAATGTAAACCCTTCAATCAGATTGACTGGTTTGTCTTTAAGTCTGTTAAGCTTCCTATCTTATCAGAGAAAAAGAAAAGAAAAATAAGTTATCAAATAAAAAATGTTTCAAATCTTAACTTGCATGTTATTTCCTGTTTATCTGATAACTGAATGTTTACAACAGATATCAAAATCTACATTTTAGAAAATCATAGTAGAAAGATATGATAAAGCTAGACTTGGATAAAGGGTTACAAATTTGTATTTGTCAGTTACAACTGACTTCTATAATTGTAAGCTGTTTAGGACAATCTTGTCATATTTAAATGTGTCTGTAAGCATAACCTTAATTATTACTACATTTTATATGATAAAATTACATCAAAGTGACATGGCACTAACTAAAGCTTATAACATTTGCAGGCACATTAACTTATGCTGCTGTCCTGGTAAAATTTCCCTCATTGCACCCTGGATGGCGTTGCCTGTCTTCATGTGATGTGTTTTAGGTTCTTTTCTGATATTTTCATCAATATTTTGATCATTTTCCAACAAAAAATAGTTCACTATAGAAGAAGTAATAGTAATACACCAAACCACAAGATTGTAGAAAAATACAGCAACTATCTTACCTGTATCTGGTTTAACATAGAAAAATGTGATCATAGAAGTCTGATAACTGGCACAGATATTAAACATCATGTTTTTAAGATTACGATATTGTATATTCATTACAGTAATATTAACATCATTTCCATTTCAACAGTTGTCTACCTTTAAAATCCTTTCAGACACGAAACACGAAATAAGGATTTTAAACAGAATGGATACTAATTGCTGTATATTCTGTAATTATAGATCACAGATTGTTATTTGATTACCTCTGTAAATAGTATCTATGGATAATTTTTTTTCGCTTAATTCGTTGTTATTGCAGAAATTATATTGATTTTTACTTTCACAAAATTAAAAGTATATGCTTGTTTTAAATAACATAATTCAAATATCAAAATCCAATTCCAAGTTATTTCAACCATTTATATATTGTCACTGAATATTCCATTTTTGATAGTTGTTTTCTTGTTCAAATCCTTAATTATCAAAAGTATTTAGTAATTAGTATGATTCTATCTAATTTCCTGTGTACTGCCAATATCAGTTTCATTTGGAATGCTTAGAATTTACACTAACATTCCAAAATATGTTCAAATTAGAAAATTGTGTTCACTTTTGGTCCTAGAGAACTTCACATACACATGTTAAACCTTGGCAATCCAATTGACAATTGAACAATAGGTCTGTAGTCAGATTGGGTAGTGAGGTTTTTAACTTCTGCAAACAACGTTAACAATGAGAAAATAACTCTCAGCTTTACGAAACAAAGTTTTGAAAAAATACGTCAAAAGTTTTTAATTTTAAATCAACATTTTTTAATCCCTTCTTAAACTTTTGATTTAGTCGTACACTTCAACAAATAAATTTTTTTTTTATAATCTTTAATCTTGAGATTAGATTTAATCCTGAATCTGATAAAATGTCTGGTACAAGAGAGGCTACAATTTCTAAAAAATTCTACAAATTATCAAGATTGGTTGTCATTTCAATTATTTTTAACATTGCTGTCTTTATCAAGTTTTCACACACAAAAAATCACAATCCAAAGATGATGCTATATCTTTCCAAGGTGCTACTTTCTGATAAAGTTCAACAATGTATCTAAGACAACCACTGCCTGTA